ATCTTTGTTACATGTATTCTATATTGTAATTGGTATTGTGATTTTCTGAGATAATCTCAGTTCATTAAACAGTCTCATATTGACAGTCACACAACACTGATGAGACACTTCAGACAGATATATGCTTGTATTCTGTAGTCTTAGTGTAACAATATTGTATCTACCTCTTTATCTGTTTATTAGTTACAGTTGTCTTACACTGGGCTGACATTTTCTTCTCTAAAGCCATAGAATTCTTATAAAACATTCTAGCATTTTTGGCATTTTGTTGTACAAGGTTTTTTTCTTCAGATCAATTGATATTCATTTTTGAAAGTTTCCCTGGCTTGCATTAATTTGATTGACATTAAAACATTTCTGTTTGAGTTGAAATAAGTGCATGTTATATTTAATTCTAAAAAGCACCTTTTTGAAAATGTATGTTTACAAGTCAAATCCTTAGAAGTCTGGAATCTTTATATGCAAGCTTTTTTTTAATTAATTTATAATAAAAGATATGCCAAATATGTGTATCAAGAAAACAAGTGAAATTGTTTGAAATAATATCACATACACTTTGTGTTATTTTTACACTGGTGTTGTCTTTATTTCATGTACTTGCAACAAAGAGGAAAATTTGTTTTCTTCCGGAAAAGAAAGCAATTATTTCTAATTAAGCTCTTGGGATATTTTTTTTCTTCAAGATTTGGTGAATGATTTTATGTGAGAGAAATGGCTTTGTGAGAATTTGCCTGACTTTATGAATGAGAAAGCTGCATGTTTTTTTATGAATGAGTTATGGAGGTGTACATGTAGATGTTCACATGATGTCTGCAAGACTTGATAAATTGTGTTTAAGGACAGTGTTCAAGTTAAATAGGAAAAGATAAGGCAACATTCACCTTTCTTAAAGTCTGTGCGTAAAAGATCATTAATATGTCTGACTTGGTGATACTTATTGTCTGTTAATTTAAGAGCAGATGTTAAGTTATTATATCTATATGTTTTCAGTTTATTGGTTTAATACTTATAAACTATCTCTATCTTATTCACAGCAAAATAAATCTCATAAACAGAGCCTCCTTGATGAAGTTTTCCTGCTACTGCCTCTACAAAATGTAAGTCAATATGGGCTGCTAAGATGCTAATACAGGCTAAATAGCTGATATAGGAGCAGTCTTCCTCTCTTTTTAACTTACAATTAAGTTCAATTTTTTTTGACTCCTTTAGCATAACCTGTACATGAGCATAAAGGCTGAAGCACATTAGGTTATTATTATAAACCATACTTGTAAATCGTCCTTGTCTATATTTAGATGTTACAGGTATTCCAAGTGTTTTGACATATGTTGATCATACAATCTAATGGCCCATATGTCTCTCTAGCACCCAGAAGTTAGATCTGCTTACATTAGGCCGATAGCGGCTATTATAAGCATCTTTCAGCCCAATATCAAGGTTTTAATCCCAGCCATTATCTCAGTCAAAGACATCCTCAGCATATATTTTTAGATTATTTATTGATCCTTTTAGGTCATATAAAATCTTACCTAAATCATTAACTTATCCAACTGATATCTAGGTCATAAACTTCTAGAGCCAATGTCTAGATCATAAACTTCTCCAACCTATATCTAGGTCATAAACTTCTAGAGCCAATGTCTAGATCATAAACTTCTGGAGCCAATGTCTAGATCATAAACTTCTCCAACTCATATCTAGGTCATAAACTTCTAGAGCCAATGTCTAGATCATAAACTTCTCCAACCGATATCTAGGTCATAAACTTCTAGAGCCAATGTCTAGATCATAAACTTCTCCAACTCATATCTAGGTCATAAACTTCTAGAGCCAATGTCTAGATCATAAACTTCTCCAACTCATATCTAGGTCATAAACTTCTAGAGCCAATGTCTAGATCATAAACTTCTCCAACCGATATCTAGGTCATAAACTTCTCTAGCTCATACCAAGGTCATAAACATCCTCAGCCCAAATCTAAATCATAAACATTTTCAGCCCATATCTAGATCATATATTTTCCAGTCCAGCAGCCTAGGTCATAACATCTTCAGCCCTTATCTAGATAATAAATTCTCCAGCCCATATCTAGGTCATAATAACATCTTAAGGTCATGACTAGATCATAAATAATTTTCAGCCCATATCTAGATAATAAATTCTCCAGCCCATATCTAGGTCATAATAACATCTTAAGGTCATGACTAGGTCATAGACAATCTTCAGCCCATATCTAGATAATAAATTCTCCAGCCCATATCTAGGTCATAATAACATCTTAAGGTCATGACTAGGTCATAGACAATCTTCAGCCCATATCTAGATAATAAATTCTCCAGCCCATATCTAGGTCATAATAACATCTTAAGGTCATGACTAGATCATAAACAATTTTCAGCCCATATCTAGATAATAAATTCTCCAGCCCATTTCTACGTCATTAATATCTTAGCCCATGCCTATATCATAAAATTCTGGTCATAATAACATATTTTGCCCATATCAAAGTTACAAATGCCATATATTTCATATCTAGGTCTTAAATATCTTCCAGACCTTATTTAGATAACATTAATATTGTGAAAAACCCTTATACAGAAGAGTTAGTAGAGAGCACTTCTAAAAGAGAATATATACCAGGCATTCCTCTGCTATAACCATCATTGATTTTAACATTACATGTAATAGACTAATCAGTTTTTTTAGACATGTTTTTCTTGTTTACTACACTGACAGAATGTACTTTTAACTAAACAACTGTTTTTCTTGGTTAATATATTGACAATGTGCACTTACTTCTAAAAATCTGTTTTTAGGGGGAGGGGTTGTTATTAATAAGTAGGATGTAGGCAAAATGAAAATAATTACTGAAAAGGTATAATGACTGTAATTTTGCATTAATTCTTAAAAAAAGCTCTTCCTTTTATGTCTTGGAAGTGTAGAATGTACATGAGCCGCGTCACGACAAAAGCAACATAATGGGTTTGCGACCAGCATGGATCCAGACCAGCCTGCGCATCCGCGCAGTCTGGTCAGGATCCATGCTGTTCGCTTACCAACCCTTTCATAAGTAGAGAAACTGATAGCGATCAGCATGGATCCTGATCAGACTGCGCGGATGCTAGATAAATACTATACTATGCCTCTATATTTGGCATATACATGTAGCATTGCCTAATAGACCTCTATCAAAGTTATATAAAGGTCATATAATAAGGATTTATTGAATGATTCTTACCATCATTTTATTTTGGGGAGAGTGGTGATTAGATATATATTTTTAAAAAAATTGTAATCTGTAATTGAATTTTTTAGTTAATATATACTTTAAATAATATTTTTTAATTTCTATTAATTTTGTATCAATATTGCAAGCTAAGCAAATGACTCAATGTCATTTTTAAAATGTATATAAATTTAGAATAGCTATTATATATTTAGAATATAGCTTTTATATAAATTTAGAATAGCTGATATGATTGCCATATCCTGGTCTATTTTCCTGCAAAACCAGTTCAGTCTCATACATGTACAAGTCAGATTTACATTTTTAGCTCACCTGAACACAACACATGGTTATCAACCTTTGTCTAGCATCCTTCATTTTCAGTTTACTTAAACATCATCTCCTGCTAAACTGGGGCAGCCGCAGCCAAAAGTGATGTAACTATACAGAAATTAACTGTAAAAATTACTTCAGCTATACAAGAACTGTACAAGACTGGTCCGTCAGAGCTAAAAATAGAAAAACCTTTAAAATTGACATCTCATTGTAGCCTTTTGTTTAGTTGTTTGTGAGAAATGTGTCAATAAAAATTCTAAGTAAAAACTTTACCATAACTAGTACTTGTGGTTTTGAGGTAATTCAAATACACCTAAAAATCATTATTGTGTGATCAATGGGAACTCATGGAAAAAAATTTAGGTGTGTGACATTCAGTGAATGAACATGTGACACCTGACTGTTTTTTTATTAGAAACATTAAAAAAACTTTTGTAACTCATTTTAACCTGTACGACCAATGCAGATCCTTTAAAAATTGTGTACACAGCTTTCCTGAATTCATAGATATCAAGAATTTTAACATTTACATGTATTTAATTGTATAACTTGAAACTTGAAACTTTAATTTGTAAACTTGAAACTTGAAACTTTAATTCGTAAAGTTCAATATGAGAAAGAAAAAAAAACTTAAAAAATTTAACACACCAGTGATCTCTATAAAATAATTAGTTTTTTTGGGGAGTTTGAAAGTGAAAACAGTTCATTGATATAAGTCTATGACGAATTTTTTATCGAAACATCCCAATAGAAAAAGTACTCATTTAACGTAAACATATCCTTTGCCATTTGCTGTATGACGTCATTGACACTTATCTCGAGAAGGTTTTATTTATTACGAGGATTGTGTTCCACCTTCTAAGAAGTTTGTTTAATTATCTTGCCATATTTAGACATCATTGCGAACGTTATGGCGAGGATAATGGAACCTAACATCAATCTTACCATTGGCAATATAATTCGAGGGTCGCTTTCCTGGAAAAGGGCAAGTTAGTTGCCATGTTTTTAATCTACAGGGAGCGGTTTACTGTACTTTTAAGAAAATTTTCTAACAGACTCGTAAATTTGTCTCCGTTATAATGTCATTTTTAACGTGAGATTGGGAAAACAAAATAAGATCTGTCTTGAAATTTCTGATCATTGCTACAAAAGTACATTCCTAGCTGGAAGCAGTGATTATAATCATATTATATAGATTTATAATTATATTGTGCTTGGTTTATGTAATGATATGAATAGAGAAAAAAGAGGAAAGTTATTGCATTGACAATAGTATGTTGTAGAGGAGTGTTAATGAAATATTTCAGCATCACAACATTATTCTGTCAACTATCAGAACCACATTTCCTTTACTACACAATGTTACAATTCACTGATATATTTGCTTTAGTTTTGATAAGTTTCAATATTTCTAAAGAATGTTTTCCTTTATTTTCAGGTGGTTTTCGGAACTTTGAGGAGAATTTCCCAGAATTCTGTGACGGTCCAGAAAGTGACGATGATACAGACAAGGAAATCATGGGACTTTGTAACCTGAAAATAGCAGAGGACTCTGCTTACGGAACATGTGATTCAAACGGTGACCTAGATTCACCTACTAGTAACGTGCCCGTTCAAGTCATCCCCCATTTATATTTAGGAAATGCTAAAAATTCAGCAGACAAAGACGTTTTGAAAAACTTTGGTATATCATATATACTGAATGTCACCCCCAATGTGCCAAACAAATTTGAAGAGGATAGTGCATTTAAATACATGAAAATACCCATCAGCGATCATCTCTCACAAAATCTCTCCAAATTTTTTCCAGAGGCCATAGCTTTTATAGGTGAGCATTTTCATATCAAGGTTTTCTTTCAAAAATTTTTAATTTGCAAGTTATTACATGTATACAAAAATTGAAATGATTCATTCAGTATGAAGAAACCATTGTGGTAAGTTTTAGATTCCAATAAAATACAAAAGTATAGTTTAATTAGGTTTTAATGACTTGTACAATGTTTTTACACTGTTTCGATAAAAATGAAAAGTTGTCTAATCAATTTCTTTATCATCGTCAGTTTGCCTTCAAAAAGTATCAGAATGGTGATAAAGAAGTGTTCTTTACAGACCTTTATTTTAAGGAGAGGAAATCAGTAACAGTCATTTTTTGGACCTTTAATAAAAGTTAATGTAAGTTGTGTGTCTGAACATAGTTTATAAAACAAAGAATGGCAGACAGAAGAAAAAGTAACAAGACATATTTTTTTTCTATCATGATTCTACAAATTATAGGCAATCCTTGAACAGTGTGAAGTAGTGAGCAGAGAGAAGGAAAGGCAAGCCTTAAAGATTGAGTGTAAATTACGTAAATAGACGAGCGTGTCTATAAATAATAGATATCTTCTTAAAACTGCACCTTTAGCCAAACACGGAAATTAAAAAGGAAAAACGTTCTGGCATTGCTTTAGATATGTGACAGAAATAAGTTGGTCCCATCATTGAGAATCCTCATGAAATACTGTAACAATCATGGTGACTGAAAAGTTCTTTGATTTGACTTATTAGCTTTCTGTATACTACTTAAATAGTTGTTTTGCTACTGGTAAAGTACACGCAGGTCAGTCGGCACTCTGTTCTTCATGCTCTTTAATTTATGCGGTTCTGATTTTGAATCAATTAAAACTCTGACAAAGAACCAAGCCGTCTGTCAGACTTAAATGGTCACTCAGTTGGCTAAGTCTCGGTAATTAATAAGAATTTCCTGGATGATTTTTTCAGCATCCATTATGAAACAATTGAAATGTTTTAAACATTATATGTACATTGTATCTGTGTATCAATTATAGATAATAGAGATATCATAATAAAGATTAACAGAAGTTGGGTGGAGCTTAGACTGATGACATTGAGGTTGTCATGGCATTTAACTGTTCCAACTATGCTAGGGTAAACATTTGCTGCAGGTTAAAGGTCAAAGTTTATTAAATTTTTATCTTATATTAAAGATAAGGCTTCACACTCTTTTGATTTCTTTGTTTTACTTGTATTTTTCTCTGTTCACTTAGTGCACTGATCTCAGCATAGTTCAATGTTTTGTTAACATTGCAATTTAGCAACATTCCTCTCTCTAAGAATACATTGTAATTGTTCATTAATAAGGCATTTTTCTTTTGAATAAAGGGCAATATGTATATAATTATGTAAAAAAATTGCCATATAAAGAAAATGGTCTCCATCTTTAGAGACACTATTCTGATATATGCTAAGCAGCCAGGATGTTACTTATTGCATAGATATACATCAATTACGGCCTTTGTGGCAAAATGACTCTGGATTGTTGACATTGAAACCACAGCCCTTTCTTTCTGTTTAGTGGCAATGTGGCCTTGTCATTTTAACAACAGAGTTACTAAGGTCTGGATTTATGTCATTGAAACAACAGATCATTGCTGTTGTTTTGTGGCAAAGTGGCCCTGACATTTAAACAACATCCCTTTGCTGCTGTTTTGTTGCAAAGTGGCCCTGACATTTAAACAACATCCCTTAATTTGCAGCTGTTTTATGGCAAAGTGGCCCTGACATTTAAACAACATCCCTTTGCAGCTGTTTTGTGGCAAAGTGGCCCTGACATTCAAAGAATAGATCCTTACTGCTGTTTTGTGGCAATTTGCTCCGGATTGATGGCATTGAAACAACAGCCCCTTGATGCTGTGGGCAGAAATGTGCTTTGATGTGAGGCTGGTATATGGCCATACAATTTTGAAATAATGCACTGGACTGTTACTTAAGTTGACACCACATAGCTTGGTCAAAATTGTTAGTGTTACTTTAAATCCAATGAAATAAAAAGGAGAGAAACAAAAAAAAACAATGTCATTCATTTTGAAACCCATATATCTTTTATAACAAATCTTATACACTTGGCCCCCTGCAGTCGGCAACTTGAAATGCCCCCACATAGGATGCTGAATATTTGTAATGTTGACTAGTACAGTAGTTTTATTTGTTTTCTGTGGTAAACTTGATCATGCTTAAGGGCTATACTAAACTATTTTAAAACCGCTTCCTTTCCAATCAAATGGATGTGGTTGCCAATTTACTCTTATTTGTATATAGTTCTAATACATGTTAAATGTCAGTCATTACACTGACTAACCTTCCTCAAACACCTTCATATACATGTATAGAACAATAAGATATTAAGTATGTTACAGTTACTTCTCATGAACATCTACCAATGATTATGTTTGTGGTACCGCAGTCTCTATTTCATATTAGTGTGACAATGTTCTCAGCTGTGTAAAAGCAAAGATCATCCATAAGTGTAACTCAGCCTGGCATTGCCTTCGCTACTTTTTTGGGTGTTAGTTGGTTTCTCCAAAACTATTGAAGGGTTGAAACTTTACACACTTGAGAGCAAGATAATCACTTTTTCAAGCCCATAACTCTTCATATGGATTTTGACAGAATTACGGCACTTTTGAAGTAAAAAAAAATCTACATTATCCAGGCTGTTGTTTCATTATTATGAGTCAAGCACGCTGACCTACTGACAGCTCTTGTTACATGTAAATAGTTTAAACTGTAATATTTCCCGATATTGAGTTTTAAAAAAAGGGTCGTGGCTTATAATATCTATATGTGAAGTAAAGGATGACAATTTAAATAAGGAAAAAAACAACAACAAATATCTTAATGTAAGTTCCAGGCTGTATTATGTATGTAATTAACTTTAGGATATTAAGTGGATCTAACTTATCAATGGTACCAGACCAGCATTGTATGTCTGTCCATGCAATTTTTATTCAGGTTGCTCGTAAATTTTAGGATTTTGATAATATACAATGTGTAACCAAACATTTACAAAAGAAAATATCAAATCCAAAGTTACAGTAGTCCATAATTGCACATTGAATGGCTTTGTTACATCCTAGAGTTAATTTTTAGCTCGACTATTCGCAGAATAATCGAGCTAATGCAGTCACCCATTTGTCGGCGTCGGCGTCCCTGTGGTTAAGTTTTTGTATGTAAGCTGGTATCTCCATAACTACTGAAGGGAATGGATTGAAACTTCACACACTTGTTCTCTGTGATTATCTAAGATGATTGGCACAAGTCCCATAACTCTGAATTGTTTTATTTCATAATTATGCCCCTTTTTCGACTTAGAAAATCTTGGTTAAGTTTTTGTATGTAAGCTGGTATCTCCATAACTACTGAAGGGAATGGATTGAAACTTCACACACTTGTTCTCTGTGATTATCTAAGATGATTGGCACAAGTCCCATAACTCTGATTTGCTTTTTTTCATAATTATGCCCCTTTTTCGACTTGGAAATTCTTGGTTAAGTTTTTGTATGTAAGCTGGTATCTCCATAACTACTGAAGGGAATGGATTGAAACTTCACACACTTGTTCTCTGTGATTATCTAAGATGATTGGCACAAGTCCCATAACTCTGGTTTTGCTTTTTTTTCATAATTATGCCCCTTTTTTCGACTTAGAAATTCTTAGTTAAGTTTGTGTATGTAAGCTGTTATCTCCATAACTACTGAAGGGAATTGATTGAAACTTCAACACACTTGTTCTCTGTGTTTATCTAAGACGATTGGCACAAGTACCATAACTCTGATTTGCTTTTTTACATAATTATGCCCCTTTTTCGACTTAGAAATTCTTGGTTAAGTTTTTGCGTGTAAGCTGGTATCTCCATAACTACTGAAGGGAATGGATTGAAACTTCACACACTTGTTCTCTGTGATTATCTAAGATAATTGGCACAAGTCCCATAACTCTGATTTGCTTTTTTTCATAATTATGCCCCTTTTTTGACTTAGAAATTCTTGGTTAAGTTTTTGCGTGTAAGCTGGTATCTCCATAACTACTGAAGGGAATGGATTGAAACTTCACACACTTGGTCTCTGTGATTATCTAAGGTGATTGGTACAAGTCCCATAACTCTGAATTGTTTTATTTCATAATTATGCCCCTTTTTCGACTTAGAAAATCTTGGTTAAGTTTTTGTATGTAAGCTTGTATCTCCATAACTACTGAAGGGAATGTATTGAAACTTGAAGACTTTGTACCTTTTCAGACAATTTTATGTATTCATATAGGTAAGCATTATTATACTCAATGAAACACCCTTGTGACAAATTTTCGAATAGTCGAGCTTTACTGTCCTCCGACAGTTCTTGTTGTAATTTGGAGGGACTGGCAAAGTACTGTAAAATTCAAACTGCTTTCGAGATGATTGGTTAACCACAAATGAAATGTTTAAGCTTTATATAGACATACCTTGTTTATAAAAAAGGCGTAGTAGTATTTGTAGGATAGTCAGCATTATATACATTGTTTAAAGTTTCTGATTGCAAAGTTTTAACGAAATTTAATTTAAAGGAACAAATAACTTTTAAACATGAAAGTATTATATGAATGCTTTTTGTAAAACTACATTTTATAGAAATTATATACTAGTAGTATAATAAAGATATTAAATGTTACGATGTAAATAAACTGATATTGTTATGTTTGACATATTGGTAAATTGCTGGCAAATTCTTCCTGATCAAAACCACCATTTCATCATTACAATTTTATTGACTCCAGCTCTGACTTGATTAAATTGTAATAACATGAACTATAGTTTTTATATTGATCATGGCTATATGTTGAGTATATGTCATGTATTTAATGGCATTTTTAATGACTAGATGATATCTGATCAATTTATTGAATGTTTAATGGAACATGCTTCTGAATTTTTACTCAATTTACCTTGTTACATAATGGACTAGTCTAATATCAGTTTAATATATTGAATGTTTAAAGGACCATGAATCTTAA